GCCTGGTGCCCCAGGGCAGTGCCCCAGCAGGAGGGACCCTGTGAAAACCTGGCCCCTTGTTCATTCCCTCCTTGGCTCTTCCCTGCACTTTCCGTGCCTGCTACCCGGCTGAGCGGGGAGGCCAGGGCAGGGCAGAAGGTGCCGCAAGGCAGGGACGGGGAGAGCAGGGGACAGCTGCTGAACTGGAAAGTCCAGAAGCCTGAAGGGATTCATTGGGCCCTCCCCGTGCCACGGGAAGCGACTGCCACAGGAGATGTTTCGGCAGGACTTCAGGGGGTATTTACAGATCTTCTGTGAGCCTCCACTGCCCTGCCCGAGCCAGGACAAGGCGCTGGCGAGCAAGGGGCGATTTGCTATCCCGTTACAAACATTTCCCAGGGCAGGCTGGGTTGTGCCCCGCGAGGGCTGCAGCTGATTTTGCAAGGCTGATTCGCATCTGAAGCGTCACTGGGGAGCGGAGTTAGTCTGTAGCAGGAAAAACTTCAAAAACAACAGTCTAGTAGCACCTTCCAGACGGCACCGTGAGCTGCCGGGGGCACAGCCCACTTCTTCAGATGGCAGGAGTGTTCGAATCCTGACCCAAGGATAAAATCCTTGGCATCTGAAGGTTCACGAGACAGGAAACCTCCCTCAGGGCAGAGCTGGAAGGCTCAGGACATGCAGAAAAGCACATCGGCCTCAGCCCTTGGCTTTGGCTGCTCTAGGAACCAGCCCTCCTTCCTGAAGGCCCACAAAGCAGGGGGGAAGAACTGACTGGAGAGACGCAAGACTTTGGCCAGAGACTGGGGAGCCAGGCTGGGCAGTGGGAGACCCAGGTCAGCCCCAGCTCTGTGTGTGGGAACAGGAGAGAATCCCTGCCCTGCCCTGCCTCCAGTCTGCACTGTCCAGGGCAGGGGGGGCAGACACACACCGTGGGGATTAGCTGCGGGGGGTGAGCGGGATGTTCCCAGCTGGACGACAAGGGGTGCAATCGATCTGGGGATGCAGGAGCAAGGGGGCCTGGATCCGTGCACAGAGAAGGAGCCTGGGGAAGAGGCAGGGGGGGGGGGGGCGGGGGGGGTGCACCTGGAGCAGCCCCGAGGGGGAGGGGGGGCAGGACATGCTTTGTGCTGCTGCAGGTGCAGGCGAAGCTGAGCACTTTGGGGGCTGCCCAGGAGAGATTCAAATGCCCCCCAGCTGCTCAGCAGAGCGCCCACAGCCAGTGTTTCCACTGGTGGTGCATGTCCGCACAGGCCTCCGTGCGCAGTACAAAATGTATTCCGAAGCCGGAGCAGCCCCGAGGGGGAGGGGGGGCAGGACATGCTTTGTGCTGCTGCAGGTGCAGGCGAAGCTGAGCACTTTGGGGGCTGCCCAGGAGAGATTCAAATGCCCCCCAGCTGCTCAGCAGAGCGCCCACAGCCAGTGTTTCCACTGGTGGTGCATGTCCGCACAGGCCTCCGTGCGCAGTACAAAATGTATTCCGAAGCCGGATGGAAAATATTAGAGGGAACACGGGGGTGGGGAGGGGAGGATGACCAAGAGAGCGGAGTGAGGAGTCCCTGCCGCACAAGGCCGCAGGGCCATGGGGAGTGAAATCCGGGAAGAGCTTGTCCGACCCCTACCACAGCATCTCCTGTGAGGCAGCGGGTTTGCCCACGGTGCTCCGTGTGTCTGTGTCAGTCTCCAAGGCACCACAGGGATGCTCGTCTTTAGAGTTACAGACTAACATGGCTCCCCGCTACAAGTCCCTGCCAAGCGAGTGGGTTCTCCCAGGTAGGCGTGTGCCCCCAAAATCCCCAGCAAAGGCCCCAGGCCCTACCCAAATTGCCTCACGCTGTGTCTTCTGCAGCCAGGTCGCAGGGCCCGGAGTCAAAGGCTTCGTCCGCAGCCAGGAGCTGTCAAGCCGGAAGTCTCAGCCTCACCCTCCAGCAGAAGCGCATGACAATGCGGCTGGCCAAGAGACCCCTGTTTAGCAGCTCCCACTGTCTCCAGGTGGGTCTGGCACATCACTCCTTAGCAGCCAGGGCTGGGACCCCGATTCTCGGGTATGGCCCTCACTCCCCTGCTGCAGAATCAACGTGGCGAGGTTCAAATCGCCGGCAGTCGTGGGGCGTGACCGGGTAGGGAGCGCTCGTACCGAAGGCCACGACTGATTAGTAACATTGAGTTTCGCAATAGGAACTGGGGGCCACGAAGGAGACCGGCAGAGAAGCGAGAAGGAACAGAAAGGAGGAGGAGGGAAGGCCTGGAAGGACTCGCCCCCGAGACACAGCCTGAGACCAGAGCGGCTGAGAATCCGCTGCACGACTGATGTGACGCAACCAGGATCCAGAGGGGCCGGGCCCGCCCGGGCACAGGGGAT